CCGAGGCCGAGGCGGGCGGATCACGAGGTCAAGAGATCGAGACCATCCTGGCCAACATGGTGAAACCCCGTCTCTACTAAAAAAATACAAAAATTAGCTGGGCATGGTGGCGCGTGCCTGTAGTCCCAGCTACTCCGGAGGCTGCGGCAGGAGAATTGCTTGAACCCGGGAGGCACAAGTTGCAGTGAGCTGAGATCGCGCCGCTGCACTCCAGCCTGGCGCCTGGCGACAGAGCGAGACTCTGACTCAAAAAAAAAAAAAAAAAAAAAAACAAAAAAACAAAAATGAGCCAGGTGTGGTAGCAAACACCTGTAGTCTCAGCTACTCAGGAGGCTGAAGCAGGAAAATCACTTGAACCGGGGAGGCGGAGGTTGCAGTGAGCCAAGATCACACCACACTGCACTCCAGCCTGGGCAACAGAGCAAGATTCTGTCTCAAAATAAATAAATAAATAAATATATATATATAAATGACATAAATTCACTGTAGTCATGGGTTTCAGAATCTTCTACATATGGGAAGATTCCTATAGCTATTGTTACGGAGACCTAAAGCCACCTGATACCCGTCTTCAGCATCTCCTTTTTTAAAATCAAAAATACTATAGCAAACGTAAGGCATTGAAGATCAAGGTTTTGGTTTTTCTGATGTGTCATGGACAGGATATTCATGTTTCCCTAAAATTCTTATGTGGAAATCCTAACTTCCAAGGTGATGGTACTAGGAGGCAAGGCATTTGACAGGTGATTAGGCCATGATTTCGAGCCCTCATAAATGGGATTAGTGCCCTAGAGAGTTCATCTCACTCTCTGCCACATGAAGATAAAGTAAGTCACCGATCTGCAACTTGAAGGCCCCTCACCAGAACCCAACCACGCTGGCATCCTGATCTTGGACTTCTAGGTTCCAGAATTGTGAAAAATAAATTTCTGTAGTTTATAAGCCACTAAATCTATGGTCATCTGTTACACTTTTTGGTTTTTTTGAGACAGAGTCTTGCTCTGTCTCCCAGGCTGGAGTACAATAGTGCCATCTCTGCTCAGTGCAACCTCCACCTCCCTGGCTCAAGTGATTCTCCTGTCTCAGCGTCCCAAGTAGCTGGGATTACAGGCATCCTTTACCACATTCAGCTAATTTTTGTATTTTTAGTAGAGACAGGGTTTCACCATGTTGGCCAGCCTGGTCTTGAACTCCTGACCTCAAATGATCCACTTGCCTCAGCCTCCCAAAGTGCTGGGATTACAGGCATGAGCCACTGTGCCCCACCTGTTACACTTTTTTTTTTTAATAACAGCTCAAACTCATTTGGGATTGGCACATATGCTCTCTAAATTGACTGCTTCCCATGCTTTAAGTACTAAACAATGACCCTCCACCATTGCTCAGGTAATTGCTTCCTCCTGTAATAAGACTGCCCAACCCTAAAATCTCAGGACCTTCAGCCCTTTGGGTCTCCAAAGGCCCAGTTGACAGGCTACTTCCTCCATAAAGCTCTCCCCAGGAAATGAAACCAGAAAGCCAATACCTCCTTCTGCATGCCTACTGCACTTACTGTGTATGTCCTTCGAAAGGATGGCACTGGTGACCTATTGGCCTTGTGTGGAGGTTGGTCCTTTGTGGTTGTCTTCTAACTCTTCTACCAAACTGCAAGCTACTGGTGAGCAGGGCTGTACTTTACACACCTCTACAGCACCAAATAGGGCATGAGTATTCCAAGAAAGCTGTGATTCACATGAATGTTTTCAGAAAAGAAACCAGAGTAAATTGTATAGTACACTATAGATCCCTTAATCCATATTACTGCAAAATACATTAATTGTGAAGCTTAAAGAGCATCCCCACTACTTACACAACAGGTGTAGCTTACATAATCTGCTCTCCCTAGCTGTTACTTATCTGTGGCAATTCCCTCCTGGCTTCTACTCCCCGTGTTGATATGTGGGATTACTGCACCATCAAGTGTGATTTCCTTATTTATTCCTTACACCAATCATAAAAGAACAGTTAACTTTCCTTTATAACAGTAAAAATGGTTGAAACTCCAAATAACCAGAGATATCCCTAGGGTTTTCCATGACTATGAAACTCAAAAGACAATTCAGGATATAAACCAGTATTTGTAAATATTGCCATAAAATTCATTGCCCAGAATATTTTTTTCTTTTAGTGTTTGTTTTTTTTCCCTATATAGTCTTCTTTGAGAAAATATTGCAGTATGCCCACTGTTTGGAAATTGTGTTACCCAAAAGGTATGTAATGGGATGAGGTGATGATGCAAATAAGTGTTAAGACTATGAGCAAATGAATGGGATCAGTAACAAAAGTCCAAAAGTCAGGAAAAATGAAAATCCACGAACTTGGTGATGCTCCAGAGAGGAAACCAGCAAGTGTTGACGCTAAACTGGCAGAAACATCAATACTTCCTGGCTCCCCCACTGGGTGCATCAATTTACCACCAGCAGGCTGCTCTTCTGCTGCAAGTGACAAACAGTGAGTGCTTTCAATGACAGTATGAAAAGGAATGACCCATAATGTAGAAGCATGGCTATGGGCAGCAATGAAAAGGTGTGATTGCTGGGAGTCTGTCTCAGCTCTACTGCTGATAGCTTAATGATGTTGGACAAGTCACTTCCTTTCACTGAAAAAATACCAGTGTTTCACAATATTTGTGTGATAGAAAGAGTTAACATAGCGGGCCTGACACTGCTACTCTTCTTAAGGCCTGTTTGCAACGTTGGTCCTTTGCTGGTGCCTGGGGACTCGGATTTTGGGAGGGTTCCCATCACCCTAACTGATAAGAGTGGCTCACTCTACTTAAGCTGTGTAAACAATAGGGTTTACACTGAATATCTGCTTTCCTTCCTGGGGTCTGGAATTTTGCTGTGTATCAGATAGAGGGTGCCTATGTGACCAGCTCCCAATAAACATCCTGGGTGCTGAATCTCTAATGAGCTTCCCTAGTAGACATTTCACACAAGTTGTTAAAATTTCTTGCTGGAGGAATTAAGCATGACCTGTGTGACTTCAATGAAAGAGGACTGGAAGCCTGCACATGGTTTCCTCCAGATTTGGCCCCAGTGAGCCTTTTCCCATTACTGACTTTGCTCTGTATCCTTTTGTTATAATAAATCACACCCCAGAGTGTCTCTATGTACTAGTTCTGCCAGTGAATCATGAAACCTAGGGTGGTTTTAAGGACTTCTGACACAATTGGTATAGTGTTGAATAGTCTATCAAACATTTTTTTCAACAATCTTATGAAATAGGTATTATTATTCCCATTCTATCGATGAAGAAACTGAAGTTCAAAAAGGTGAACAGAGAGTATGCCCAGAAAACAAATATTTCAGTGTTTACTATATCATACATGGTTGTTCTCAAATTTTAGTGAGCCTAAGAACCACTTGGAATACTTGTTAAAAACACAGTTTCTTGGGGCCTATCACCCAAGACTTGGATTCAGTAAGTTCAAAGCCCAGGAATCTGTACTTATAGTAAGCATCCAAGAATTTTTTTTTTTTTTTTTGAGACGGAGTTTTACTTTTGTTGCCCAGGCTGGAGTGCAATGGTGCAATCTCAGCTCACTGCAACCTCTGCCTCCTTGGTTCAAAGGATTCTCCTGCCTCAGACTCCCAAGCACCTGGGATTATAGGCCTACGCTACCACTCCCAGCTAATTTTGTATTTTTAGTAGAGATGGGGTTTCACCATGTTAGTCAGGCTGGTCTCAGACTCCTAACCTCAAGTGATCCACCCGCCTCCGTCTCCCAAAATGCTGAAATTACAGGCATGAGCCACCACACCCAGCCCCAAGATTTTTTTATGTAAGTGGTCCAAAGACCACATTTTGAGAAACACTTTGTTGTATATGAACCACAGCCTTCAGTTCCCAGTTTCTCAAGCGAGGTAGTAAATGGCAGAACTTGTACTAACTCTTTTAAACAAGGTTGAAGCTCATTTCACGACACAACTGCTTCCAAATCCCTCAAACTCAGCAGTTCTTCTGGTTTGCTCCGTCTTCTTTCTACAGGTACCCATCCAGCTGACGGTGACTGGATGCAAACAAAGGAAAGTACCTCACATTTCCAGCACCAAATACCAAGAGGTCTCCTGAATCCAAATAATGGACACTTACAAAGGTAAGTCAAATGATTCATAGCTCTTGCAGAATTAACACTGAAGCTTTGGTTTTCGAAATAGATTTGATGTGCTGGTGGCAACAGAAAACATAAGCTTATCAACTGTACTAAATAAGAATATGAATTTGCTCACAATTTTAGTTTGTACAATATTTAAACTATAGTGTTCTATGAGTGGCCAAGAAAGGAAGGGTGGTTAAAGATTATCTTTCTAGTAGACAGAGAAAAGTCTTAAGTAAACAACAACCTTTTTCTGATTACTTTTTAAGTAGGGACGTAATTATTATTTTTTCTCATTTAAAATAAGTATAGTGGCTGGGCATGTTGGCTCACACCTGTAATCCTAGCATTTTGGGAGACCTACACTTTGGGAGGCCAAGGCCTCACATGAGGTCAGAAGTTCAAGACCAGTCTGGCCAACATGGTGAATCCCCATGTCTACTAAACATACACACACACACATACACACACACACACACACACACACACACACACACACACATTAGCCAGGCATGATGGCAGGTGCCTATAATCCCAGCTACTCGGGAGGCTGAGGCAGAATTGCTTGAACTGGAGAGGCAGAGGTTGCAGTGAGTAGAGACCCCACCACTGCACTCTAGCCTAGGTGACAGAGCAAGACTCCATCTCAAAAAAAATATAATTAGTGTAGTATTTTTGTCCACTGAAAAGGAAATTATTTTCAGTGCTCTGCACTTATCTATAGCCCAATCTGAAATGTATAAGCTTCTTGGTGACTGCTTCCTCAACTGTTCATTTTTCATCTGTTATTACTGACTCAGGCTATGTCACCAATTCAGCTCAAAACAATTAAACAAGTATTAATTGAACATCTACTATTTACCTGATGCTGTGCTAACTGCAAGATCATTTTCAAGAACACTTCTGATTTTTCCAAGAATACCTTGGTAAAGAGAAAGGGACTAGGAAAACATTGCCACATTAATACTTTATGATAACATATAATAGAGACACCTAAAAGACAAATGATGATATCTGCTAGAACAGGGTAGGCCTCACCAATCCTCCCATATTCCATTCAATAAATATGGGGCAAGAAATCAATGATTTCTACTTCACAAATACACGTTAACCTTCTAAATCTGGATATCCATGGTCCATTATCATTTGTAAATCACATCTTCTATTATCAAGAAGTCTGCCAAACCGGCAATCCGTCCATACACTGCAGTAATTGAGGGGCTGTCTGCCAATGTGCTAGCATAGGGCATCCTGTGCCCATATCTGCAGTGCTGAGCACTCATTCATCATTAAGCTGCAGCAGTGTTAACATATGCTGCAGTTGTGCCAGTATGTTTGCTCTACGATCACAGCTAGTCTACCCTTATACCAGGCCAAGAAGGTAAATGTTAAGTGAAAGGAAATAAACTCAAAAGCCAGAATCTAATTCACTTGTGGAAGCCCAGAACCTCCCTCCACCTAACCAGAAAAACTCTCTCAGTCTTGTGGATTCCAGATGTAAAAGGTTCATCTGTATAAAGCACTACAGATGTACAAAACTTCCATCACCTTGAAGAAAAAACTAGTATGTTTTTGTATCCCATGCATTCATCCTCTGAAAGAACTGACTCACCATGTTAGACAAGTAGTTAGCCTTGATGATGTTTTCCATCACTCAACAAACCAGTATTTCATTTCACTCAGTGGGCTAGTTCTTCGTACATCATGCAGACACAGGGAGTTTAGTTATGGTTCTCTCAGGGGTCACTGGCCATCCTTGACCTCTTAGAACCCACTGCCCAGCAGGTGGTCAACTGGCAGCTTTGCTGAGAAAACAAGCTCATTTGGACAGTTGCATCAACATAAAAATGGCCAGCTTCACCCACCCAAATCTCAATTCAGCTAAAAGTTCATTAGGAACATTGGAAGCTACCTGATATATAGGCACTCAATATTACTCACTAAAGGGCTGAATTATTAGCAAGAAGCAAAAAAAAAAGGAACAAACAGGAAACCCTTATAGAAGGTACTCAGGACATATTCAGAGTTTTATGTTGCTTAGTCAGTAAAAGGTGGATCAAAAAAAAAAAAAAAAAAAAAAAGACAAAACCTGCTTTCATTTGTGTAAACATTTATTTCAAGTTATAGTGATTCATTTCTAAATAGGTTTCCCACCTTGCACAGGGTCAGCCTAGCATCTATTTGCAAAAGAGCAGTTTGCCATACACAGGTTCAGATGGAAGGAGACAAATACAATAAACTCCTTTTTATCTGGCATCCAAACAACCAGAAAATAACTGATATTGTACAATCTATTTTTGATAGAAAGAAAAATGACAAGTATGTAATAGTAACTTATTCATAAAGATCAAATTTCATGGTATGTCACACATGTATTCAATGCAATGCAGTTAACATGCCCTCTATATCTATAGTTGTGTATGTGATGATAATTACAGCTCATGAAGACAGGAACTTGGTCTGTCTTGCTCATCTACATCCCCAGAATTTACTACAGTGCCCAGAACATAGTAGGTACTTGTTGAATGAAATAATGCTCTGCAAAACCATACAATGGCTTAATCATCTAAGAAAGAGGCCGGGCGTGCTGGCTCACGCCTATAATCCCAGCACTTTGGGAGGCCGAGGTAGGCAAATCACCTGAGGTCAGGAGTTCGAGACTAGCCTGGCCAACATGGTGAAATCCTGTCTCCACTAAAAAATACAAAAAAATTAGCCAGGCATGGTGACAGGTGCCTGTAATCCCAGCTACTAGGGAGGCTGAGGCAGGAGAATCGCCTGACCCCCGAAAGCGGAGGTTGCAGTGAGCCGAGATCATGCCATTGCACTCCAGCCTGGGTGACAAGAGTGAGACTGCCTCAAAAAAAAAAAAAAAAAAAAAAAAAAAAGGGTATATTTTGTGACCAGGCTCATGCAGATGGCAGATCCTGGGACTTCTCAGCCTCTATAATTGCATCATCAAATTCCCATTAAAAAATCTCAAAAAAGAAAACAAAGAAAAAAAAAGATTATATTATGGTCAGAATAGCTTCGGCATTAGATGTATTTATTCTAATTCTTAGAAAACTAGTAATGTATATGGTATACCCCAATTAACAAGAACTCCTCATCCTTCACTCATTCTGCATAAGGGCGGATTTACAATAATCACTATCTGTAAGTAAAGGTTATTATTTATGTGATATATATAAAAGCTGTTCTTTCAAAAAATATTTTAATGAACACCTACTGGGGACCAGGCACTGTACTAAGAGATAAGAACATACTGTGAACTGTCCCTGTCTAGGACAGCCTTTCTCAATTTAGGGTTCCTTAACTCCAGCTGCATAGGAAAAAAGTTAATTTATTACTTACAATGCATGTCCTAGGGCCTCAGTGCCAATTCTCTCCATGTTGAGAAAGACTAGTCTAGGGAGCCACACAAGTTAAAAGGCAATTATAACACAATATGATTAAAGAACTGCTTTTAAGTATGGTCAACTGTTAAATCTAGACCTCTATGAACAGCCATGTGGGAGCCAAGATGCACAGACCATTTGTAATACTCATGCAAATGTAAAAATATTGCAATACATACATGCAGATATATTTTTAAACACAGTAAAATAAAGACAATATTTTCCTGCTCGTCAATGTCAGGCCAGGGTTATTAGTAAAGTGAAACAGGAAAAAAAAAAAAAAAAAAAAGTTTAATTACTCTGATAATGTAAGGGGGAAACTAAAAACCTTCTTGCTCCTGGAAAAAAAAAAAAGCAATTATCTGAATTATTTTCTTAATTGCCTCCATATATTGCTTCATTAGACTAGCCTTGCCTTGGACTCAAAGCAATAAATTAGCTACCTATTTCATTAATTCTTATTTTGTATTATTTAGTCTTATTTTAAATTTCCATCCTTCCTTAGGCAGACTAATTTCTTTCTAGTCCTGGGCATTTTCTGTGTGATATTATGATTACATGCTGCATGTTTTACGAAACCAAAGCAGTTTGAGGGCTCCTAGAATCAGAGATTCAAATGTACTCCAGTATTTCACACTCACAATTAAACTTTCACGTATCAAAGGTCTAAAAATGCATACCTGTTAAATACCACTCTCTGACAAGCTAAATGAACAGTGTCCTCTTGGCCAAGCCCCCAATCTACTTTATCAAGAAATCTCTTATTTTAAATCTTTAGCATAAAATAATTAAATAAGCCAAAAAGCAGGGGGAATTTTTAGACTCTCGGTAAACCTTTAAACCCAAGAGAACATGTTACTATAATCACTAGGAATTGCATTAAGAATAAAACAAGACAGAATAACATAAAAGTCCATGACCCTTAAATCTCGACTAGTCCAGACTTCTGATTAAATATGCCTTTGAAGAAAAATTGTACAGACAGACCTATTATTATTTATTTAATGTATTAATGGAGATATTGACTGAGAACAGGCAGTGCTTTTATTGCACTCAGAGACATCCAACTCCTAAATCCTTTAGGACACCGTCTACATGCCTTAAGCCTAAAACGCTAAACCAAATCCACCAATTTCTTTCCACCTCAAAACTGTCAAAAGGAAAGTCATAATTCATCAGAAAGAAAGGAACACAATTATTAATGGCAAAGAAGTCAAGACCACGTCTTTAAAAAATACAGTGAATCACTATTTTCTTTTAGCTTGAAATTGGACAAATGGAAAAATAAATGGCATTTCAAAAATGATTCAGCAAACACAACTGAGCTATAGAAGATGATGCTTCTAAGAATCCTAAGACATTCTTACCACTTCAAGTTTAAAATATAAAGAAAGCACTTCTCTAATATGTAGTCTAGTTTTCAGTGACCAACAACTACAATCAACACCACTGTAATTTATTTCGCAATCAAAACCAATTTCAGACACGTATAGGTACACCAAAAAACACAACTGATTTTGAAAGGAATTCATAGCTCTATTTCTAAAATATTAAAACAATCATAAGACAGCTCCCAACCTTGACTACACCTATATTGCTGTGCAAGTCTCAAAGTTCCACCCAAATCTTCAATTCTAGCCTTCTAGTAATTTAAATGGAAGTGCCCCTCAAAGAATTTTCCAGGCAAAAGATGAGAACAGCATCGTTTACTGATCTAAGAGATCGAAAAACTGCCCCCAACAAAATTTTGAAGCCATTTCTTAACAATAAGTATTTGATAGTATTTTTCACATTCAGTCCAACAGTATGCAGATTAATTCCTTGCCCTGGGCCTAGGGTTCAGACACAACTCCTAAGAATCTTCCAGCTTACTGCACTGGTACAAATTCCCGATACTTACCATAGTCATGGCTGTGCAGGAAAATGTGAACAGCTGAACATTCCAGCTGAAACAATGAGGTCAAAGCTCATTTCAGTATTAGCAAAAGTGATTCTCTGCTGAGATCTTGGTAGGGGATGCAAAGTACTGGCCTCAAGCCTGCAGGCTGGCACCTCAACAACCGCTGCAAATTCTACTGCATGCCCTGGCTTCCTGGGCCAGCACTGCTTAATTACTAGACTCTGATAAGATGCAGATCACTTCGCAAAAGCAAAGCAAATGGGCTTTTAGACCGATACTTGAGTTGCTCAGTTTCAAATATTCAAATCCTTAAAAAAAAAAAAAAAAAAGATTTCAAAATCTTAAGTTTAAGCTAAGGATTTTATTATGATTCAGAGCCCAGTTGTTTTCCACCACAAGGCTGCCATGTGAAAAGATGATCCTTTTCCTAAATACTACAATTAGCTCTCATTGTCACCTTTCCCTTTTTGTCACCCCCAAACAACACTCCAAGATCACAAGAATCTATGTGAAACAGAGCTATGAAGAACAATACTCTTTTGCATTCTCAGGTTCAATGTGAGAAACCAATTTTAGTCACTCGCTTCAGCAAAGCTATCAGTACAAGCCATCGCCTACCGATTTCAAGATGATTAATATGTACAATCTCTATTGCTCTATGCCACAGGTAATTATCTGTTCCAATTTCATACTACATGTTTCTAGATGAGGTCAACATTTAGAAAACCATTAATATAGCACTACTGAGATAATAATATCCTAAAAAAGGATGTGCTAGTATTACTTTTAGCCAGTGTACATTTGCGAAAGTTTCCAATGAATGAAAAATGAGAGCAAATTGATCCGATGTCTGAAAACTGTTAGTAATGCTTTGATTAGGAATAACTGCAAGAGTGTACTTACAAACGGACAAGTTCTCAAAAGATGCATTTCTTAACACAGGTGGAGGGAAGCACTCAGCATTCAACCCTTTTTCCTAACCACAGAAAAATCAAAATTTGCAGATGAAACCTTTCTTTCACATCATTGGCAGAAATAAAATCCTATCCCCGACACCTCCTCTTGCAATTAAGGAAGTTGCTACAAACAGCAACATAGACGTAAATGGCCCTGTTTTGCTCCATTCTTAATGTACCCTCTAGGAGTAAACAGGTTACTCGAAAAAGTCAGTAGCAGGAAAGCGATTTTCCCTATGCCAAACTCCCATGAAAATGAAATTCCCTTTTCTGGGGATTCTGAAGGGGAGAAACGTGGACGGAGGAGTCCAGTCGCAGTCTGCCTTCTCCCATGGGTTCAAGGTCTGAAGTGCTCAGTCCCCCGCGAGGCTTCAGATCAGCGATCGGCAGCATGGGCAGTGGCGGTGCAGCCTCAGGCTGCACATTCACCCAGCCCACCCTGACAATCACGCTCGCCTTTCAAACACCCTAAAAGGTGAGCTTTGTAGGCTGGGTCTCCAAAGTTTGCCCGGCCTCCGGTCAGCAGCCGCCTGCTGGCTGCGCCCCAGGCAAGGCAGAGTCTGGCCCTAGCCTCAGGCTCCCTCAGCCCCCAGCTCTTCTTTTGGGCCACGGTGACAGGTCTAGGTTTACCTCCATTTGCTCGTGGCAGAGGAAACAAAAGAAAGCAACCTCCCTAAGAATAAAACGCCATCTTCGACTAATTGGCAAACTAAGGGGTCCCCGGGTCGGCCGCCCCCACGAGTCCCCCACCACCCAGCCCGAGGGCGGCCCCGGTCTCAGGCAGAGTTTGAAACAGCTCCGGGAAGCCTGGGTCCAATTGTCCTGGGGGCGAGGGCGGGATACCTCGAGAGCCCTACCTGCCTCACCTCGCCGGCCGCCCGGGCACCGTGTTTCGGTGAAAAAGAAGAAGAGGGGTGGTGGCGTCTCCCAGACATGTAACTAACCCCTCAGAAAATTGCTGTGAGGGACCTGGCGAAAGGACTGACGAGCAAGCAAACCGGCACGAGCGGAGCCGCAGCGAGTGTACTTACAAAACGATTCAGGCTCCGGCGGAACATCGCGTCGAAGGCGGCCGGGCGCTGAGCTGGGCTCTACCGGGCTGTCTGGGAAGGCGCCGTCCACAAAACACACTGCGGCGTGGGCCGGCGGCGCCAAGCGGAGCAGCGAGGCGGGCTACCGGGCCACCCGCTCGCCGCCTGCCCCACTCGGCTCTCCGCGCTCCGCCTCCCCACAGCCGCCCGCAGCCTCGCCGCCGCCCCGCCTCACTCGCGGCCCGCCCCCGGCCTGCCCGCCCCGGGGGCGGCGGCCCCGGAGTTCGCCCTAATCTGGCCCGGGCGCCGCGGGCCGGCAGCTGCCGCAGCACCCACTGAGAAGGCAAGCCCGCCACGCGGGGGAAGGATGGCGGAGGAGCGC